CCATCCATAATCCACCCATGATCCATCCATGATCCATCCATCATACATCATCATCATTCATCCATCCATGATCCATCCATGATTCATACATCATACATCTATCATCTTTCATACATCCATGATCCATCCATGATCCATCCATCATCCATCATCATCCATCCATCATACATCCATGATCCACCTATGATCCATCCATCATCCATCCATGATCCATCCATCATCCATCCATGATCTATCCATCATCCACCCATGATCCATCCATCATATATCCATCATCATTCATCCATCCATCATTCTTCATCCATTATTCATCATCCATCCATCATTCATCATCCATCCATCATTCATCCATCATTCATCATCCATCCATCCATCTTTCATCATTCATCCATCCATCCATCCATCCATCTTTCATCCATCCATCCATCCATCCATCCATCCATCCATCCATCCATCCATCCATCCATCCATCCATCCATCCATCCATCCATCCATCCATCCATCTCAGGTATATTTGCACAGCCCAATTGTCCTGACTTTAAAAGTTCCCATTAGTGGCCGATCATACTGGAACAAGAAACTGTTAAGTGTCTCTTCTGATGTAAACATGATGTCACAGATGTGTGATAGAACAGGTGGACATGCACAGAGGACATATATGAAGATCAGGGTGGCGGACCTTTTCTGCTGTAGATTCATGTGTTAGTAAGTGCATCATGCCTCCATCTTTAAAGTGCGTGAATTTAACATTTCACAAGTCTTTAAACGTTACAGTGAAGTAAAAGGTTGTGGTCTGACATTAACTTTAGTCTGTTCCAGCTCGGATCTTTTACCTCCTCCGTTCTTTTGGCACAGATACGGGAAACGCCACACGTTCCCCAGACCCACGGAGAAGCCCACCTGGGCCAGGATGTACTGCAGCTTGCTGTTCCAGGCAGGCCTGCCATCGTTCTCAGGCACCTCAATCTGTGGGACTTTTGTCCCCGCAGCGGCCCCCACGTTCAGGGAGCTGCTCTTGTAGTCGAGAGGCTCCTCATGCGCGAGCAGGTCAGCCACGGACTCCGTGACCTGCTCGTGGCTCTGCTCGCTCTGCGTCACCTTGCTGTTCTTCGGCATCGAGGAGGCCGAGGGTCCAGAGGTGGGGAGAGAGAGAAAACTGAGAGGCGAGGGAGTGATGGATGAAGAATGTGGAGGAACGATGAAGCTGAAGGATGGCAGCTGGGTTCTTCAGGCCTGTTTTTAAAACGAGAACAAAAAACACAAAATGAAAAACGGGCTTCAAGAGCATCAGCAAAATAAATGAACTAAGAGCAAATCTGTTATAAGTCCTTATATCAACATTTTTTTTAGTTCTCACAGCAGAAAGGCAGAGGGGGATGATAAAGTTTTCACTTGTGCATGTGCACATGTGTCTGTTAGCAAAATATGTAATGAACCACAGCATGAATTTTATCGAAACTCTCCTAAAGTAATGATTGGATGAACATCTACAATTTAACTTCTTTAGAAAACTAAATTAAAGATGGCCGCCACAGACAACTGATCATAAGATCTACTTATACTGAAACATATTTGCTAAGAACTTTTGCGTCAACTGTTGCAGCAAATGCTGTTTGTCTGTTAGCAAAATGTTCCATGAACCACCAGATGGATTTTAATGAAACTCTCAAGAATTCATCATTAGATGAACAACTACAACTGGTTCACGTTTGAAACTAACACAATTTAAGATGGCCCTAACAGCTAATCTTCATTAGCCAACACCAAAATGGCTCTAACTGTGGTAATGTTACAAATAATGTGGTAAAATTTGGTGTGGTAGTAGCTGAGAGTTATTCACAACATGTACGCTGATTGAGACGTCCCATGGTATTGCAAGAGAGCGTGGATCATGGTATTTTTAAGCCTGGACCAAAATGGCAGTACAGTAAGGTGATAATCTAAAACACAGGGGGCGATATGCATTCCTTCATGGATTCCGTTTAGTTCTTACAGAGGTCTTATATTACACGGTATAACACAGCAAACCTTATTATTTCTTCATTTATAGCCTGTAATAAAACTGTAGCCCATGATTCTCCAGGATCATTAACAGCATCAACACAAAGACAGGAGAGCAGGATGAACTCAGCTAACCTGGACTTTTCCTCTCTTATGCAATGTTTTTCAATCTGAAGTTTCTAATCCTGCAAATTGTTCTATTTAATTTTCCTGCTTTGCAAAAGCTTAACTTCACTGATGTTTTTTTTTTCCTCCTGTAAATCCTTTAATCCTCTTGCAATAACATCCATCCCAACCCATTTTCCAAGTTCATCCCAAACATAAGGGAGGAAGTGCTCTTCTGGTCCACATCTCATACAGCCATATTATTTATTAAATAATCTGCGGGCATGAAGCCGTATAGCTTGTGGGACATTTGAACAAGAAATTAAAAAGAAATTAAAGGAGGTTAGGAATGCATACCGCCCACTGGTTTTTATGAACGAGTTTTAGACTTAGATCAGCTTATGTTGAGAAGTGATGGAAGTTGGTTAAACCTTGGATATTATGTTCGATCTCACGTGTCACACTCAAAGTATGTGCTGTTAATGACTCTCAGCTACTACTACCTAAAGTTTCAGTCCAATATCTGTAAATTTACCAGAGTGATAGTCCTTTATATATTGGCTAATATTAATAGGCTGTGGTGGCCATCTTGAATTGGATTAACTCTAAAAGTTTATCAGCTGTAAATGGATGATGTGTGATTATTTTCTGGAAGTTTCTTTTTTAATTTGATCAGTAGTTTATGGGCTATTTTGCTAACAGACAAACAAAGTTATTGTCATAGTTAATGCTCATGTTTTAAACAAAGGTTTTGTGCAAAAGATGATACTTGAAATACGTGTTGTGAATAACGCTCAGTTACGGACACTCCAAATTTTAACACATCCATCCATCATCTTCCACTTATTTCAATGTCAGGTCACTGGAGCAGCAGCCTGAGCTGGGAGGCCCAGACATCTTTCCACAGTCACATCTTCCTCTCCTGGATAACTAAACTTATCACCCTATCTCGAAGCTGCGGAGGAAACTCATTTCAACCGCCTGTATCTGTGATCTCATTCTGTCAGTCACCACCCAGAGCTTGTGACCATAGATGAGGGTAGGAACGTAGACCAACTGGTAAATAGAGAGCTTCACCTTACAGTTCAGTTCCCTCTTCACCACAACGGACCGGCACAGAGTCCGCAATATTGAAGACGCTGCACCAAACTTCCACAAACCCTCTGAGGGCAGAGAACATACATATTCACTATACGCATATTTTACAATTTTTATTTTTATTTTCTTTGCCTTTGTGCGTGTGAAGTTGAGCCATTGATGCAATAATCCATGAGCTGCTACTTACAAGGCTTCATAATCCCATGTGCATTAACTCTTACACCCCCCCCCCCCCCCACCCCCAGCTCAGCTTTCTGCCCTGTCATTCAGTCCAACTCCACAAGACTCGTAACATGAACCAGAGAAAAATCGACACGCTGAACCCATAATCCTGCTGGAAAACAACTGTCGGTTCAGATGGACAGAGCCGAAGGTGCAGTGAGAGTGGACACAGTGAGAGTGGACACAGTGAGAGTGGACGCAGTGAGAGTGGACGCAGTGAGAGGGGACACAGTGAGAGTGGACGCAGTGAGAGTGGACACAGTGAGAGTGGACGCAGTGAGAGTGGACACAGTGAGAGAGGATGCAGTGAGAGTGGACACAGTGAGAGTGGACGCAGTGAAAGTGGACGCAGTAAGAGTGGACGTAGCGAGTGGACACAGTGAGAGTTGTCACAGTGAGAGAGGACACAGTGAGAGTGGATGCAGTGAGAGTGGACACAGTGAGAGTGGACACAGTGAGAGTGGATGCAGTGAGAGTGGACACAGTGAAAGTGGACACAGTGAGAGTGGACACAATGAGAGTGGACACAATGAGAGTAGACACAATGAGAGTGGACACAATGAGAAAGGACGCAAAGAGAGTGGACGCAACGAGAGTGGATACAGTAAGAGAGGATACAGTGAGAGTGGACGCAGTGAGAGTGGACACAGTGAGAGTGGACACAGTGAGAGTGGACACA